CTTCCCATCTTACTGACTCTCTCCTTCTGGTCTTCCTCATGTAGGACATATCTGGGAATGGCCAGCTGATTTGGGAAGTTGTCCCTGTCAACTCTCAGTCTCTCTCCTTCCCCTGCTCTTGCAGCGCTACTTTAACAGTACAACACGTGATGTGGAACAGGGCACCAAGGGAACTTTCTTTGGGCCGCTGTGTGGGCCGCTGCCTTTACTCCGTGACCTTTCTCCCAGTTCAGTATACATACGTGTACATAGAGACACATGCACAAAAGGCCAGATGTAACACAAATATACTTGAACAGGAGTACATCAATGTTTCTTTGACATGTGTTTAGTTTAGATGTAGCTGCCACAGCTGGGTAATTGATCCCACATAGGCATGCACCGATCTGACTTTTTCAGTCCTGATACAATACCTGGGCTTTGGGTATCAGCCGATAAGATACCAGTGTAAAATGAATAAGCTGTATTCCTCACTGAGAGGAAGAGACTTGGAATCCTTATTTTATGTCTTGGGCAACATCAGTCTTGAGGTCCGCGTAAGAGTAACGCTGATTGTTTAGAGGTCTGTTGATAGCAGGCTGTCATTTCACGAGCTACAGATATGTATTAGATAGAAGCAGAACAGCAGAAGAAGGATGAATGCACAAGAAGTTCTGGCAGTGACATGAGTGAGGGAGAATCAGATGGGGGAGAGATAATGACCGGCATGAGTGTGTAAGTCACTGTCTGTGTGTGCGTGAGAGGGAGCACTCTTGTTTCTTTACTCTAACAGCGTATGCTAACTAAAAGCAAATTATTATTACCAAAACTTTGTTTTTAACTTTGTTACTGCCAGGCTAGTAGACCCAAGTGCAGGACTGAGAGAGGGAGGGGACTGGAGTTAAAATGCAGAATGTTGTGACATTCTGTGTTGTGCAGCTGTTCCAAAATAATCAATACGGTGACTGTAGAGCTGAAATACTTAGTTGAATAATAACAGTCTTGATAATTGTTTAAGCAAATCAAAAAAGCCAAACATTTTGGGGATTCAGCTTCTCAAATGTGAATGTTTGGTGGGTTTCTGAGTCTTCTGTAATATTAAATGGACTCTCTTAAATGGGTTATGGACTGAAAAATGTCAACTTTAGGACCAACTGATTAATCTATAAAATAGGCAGATTATTCTGCAATGAAAGTAATCATTAGTTGCAGCCGTAAATGATGTAAGGATGATCTGGCATACATTGTTTAAGTTAAAACAAAAAAGTAGGGCCATATGTCCCATTCATTTTTGACCGAGCTGAAGGCTCCTGACTTGTTCTCGGTCTACAGTTTTCAAGGCTTTTGTATTCACTGCTTCTTGCTTCCTGTGTGGTTAAACATGCTTTTGCTTCTACAAACAAATTTGGTGTGTGTGTATGTATATGTATTTGTTTTATTCTTCCTGCATCTGCGCAGTGTGTTAACTGCAGAGCCGGTTTGCAAATTTCAGGGTGATTTGCATGCGTTCTCAAGTCGCCTGCCTGATGTTACCACAGTTTACTCACTTCTCTATTGAAAAGCTCACTCAACAGTTAATGTGAGAATGGCAACCAATATACCGGTAGTTAGCTTTGTAGTTTGTCTCGTACACACCGCAATGCAGCGCAATAGTAATATTTATCAAATACTGCTCATGCTTCCCGTCTAGCCTAGACACAGTATGTGTGTACCAGAATTAACTTTGAAATGGTGTTTTGGTCTGCCGTTTTTTGCCTCTTGGTAAACCTACTATTGGCAGCATTTAAAACGCAGACTGTATGAAGTCACTTTGTGCATCTGGGCTACCATCCACAATCAAGTTCCTTTTCATCTTTTTAGCATAAGCTGTCATTGTGGTGTCCTTGGCGTGTCTGCTGGTTCCTTTTGTTCTTCAGTGCGTCCTCACTGTTTCACTCTCCCATAACAGTCTGCCCTCCTTTCCACCGTCAGGTTCCACAGGTGAAGCCAGCCCTCTCGCCCCCTTGTCCACTCTTTTCATTTCTGAAGGATTAGAAGCAAACAGGCCTTTAAAGTCTGGTTAACCGTTTCTGAGCTTCAGCTGTCTGCATACAGCATGGCACATTGTGTTCAGTCCTGATCAGAGGTGATAATTAAAGGCGTCACAGAGGATCTCAGCCCTCACACTAGAAAGAAAAAATAATAATAATCAAGGCTCTTTTGAGTGCCCTTGTGGCTGCTGCCATGTATAAAAGATTGAGGGGAGGAAATAAATTAATAGAGAGGGTCGGGCTGATGCATCCCTTTTTTTGTCAGTGGCTCTGTGGTTGGCAGTTAACTAAGAGGATAAGTGACAGTGGGGTAGTGGGTGGAAGCAAGAGAATAAGAGATGGTGTGGCCTTGGCTTGCAAAAGATTATGTCTCTTTTTTTTAGCTGTACAAGAAATCAAGCAGGTCGGGTTGAGAGACAATATAAAAATGTTATATACCATCTTAAGAATTAAATTAACAATCCTTAGTAAATTGTGACTAAATGAAATGGGAATGGAGAAAAAGTGTACAGAGTCTGTCTCAAGAAGGTGAAATGAGGGAGCGTGGGACTGAAACGTTGGATCTGTTTGAAGCTTTGCCCACCCGGCAATCCTCACCTTGTGACTATTGCCTCTGACACGGTGCTGAAGTTCAAGCCCTTTCTCTCCCTTTCCCTCCCACTATTTTGTGTACGCAGTCGGCGTAGTGATAGCCAGCTCTCGTCATCCACTTTCCCTCTACTCTCGCCCCCCCCCCCCACCTCGCTCCTGGGTTGCTCTGAGACTGTTCCAGCCAGTTTGTGGCGGCTGGGCTCAGAGTGTCAAGGACTTGGCATGCTCAGACTGACTGTTCCCTGGCTAGTTACAGACCAGACATTACCTGTTCCGCCCTCCATACTGTGCATATTATTAGTTTCCATTTTGGTGACAGATGGTGATGTAATCCAAAGGTGTAGTCGGTTCACAGCAGACTCGTAACTAACGCTGGAAGGTAGATACGGCCATGAAGGGTACCCTCTTTGAGTTTCTAGACACTTTAATGTTGCACATGCAGAAAGATTAAATTTCCCAAGTACAGAGGTCTAATAACATTTAACTGTCTTCTCGCATTATGACTACAGCACTGAGCATGCTGCGGATTATGTTTCAGTTAATCAAGAAGACAGGTTGCCAAAAGGATTGCGTTAAATCTTTGACTGATTGCAATGTAACTTTTAGCCATTATTGTCTATACTTTAAACTCTTGGCTTGTATTAGTTTGTAATAGGTTTATTTGTGTAGCACTTGTCAATACATGTAACAAAGTGCTTTAGATTAGATTAAACTTTGTCATTAGTCAGAGTATGGGTACAGAACTAATGAAATGCTGTGTATGTGTGTATGTATGTATGTATGTATGTATATATATATATAGATAGAGATATAGAGATATAGAGATATAGAGATATAGAGATAGATAGATAGATAGAGATATAGATAGATAGAGATAGATAGAGATATAGATATATAAATAAAAATAAATAATGACAGACATGTTGGTGGTTTAAATTGTCGGGCCATCCACCGCTTAGGCAGACAAGAAAGACTCGTGTAGTAAGGTAAGTGTGTTGTGGCGATCAGCGCCTGTGTCACACACACACACAGCCACCTGTCAGCTCTGTAACTATCTATGTAACGGCGTTTCAAACCAAATTCACAAGTCCGAAAGAGGCCCGGTCTGTCCTGAGTTACAGCCTACTGCTTACCAGCATTAGAGGCTGTGGGGGAGGGGGGGGGGGTCTCCGGTGTTGTCAGAGAATTACTAAGCTTGTCTATTAAACACGAGAGGCGTCACTTGGTTTTATTTTTGTTGGCCAACTTTTCAATTGAACCTCAAACTATAGTATTTTTTAAAGGTTTTTGATTAGAGATGGACTCCTAGGAGATTTGAACTGAGATAAGGACCTTAACTGGTGGTTGAACTGTGGGTTTCATATTGAGGGCTTACTGTTTTGTATTGAGCGTTTACTGTATAATACAGTTCACACTGGTAAACTTAGTTTTTATTGTGGTCTTATGGTAGTCCTACCTGATGATGTTATATCATATTATTTAATGCCCTGACTTGACTCTCAAATTATCTTTCTCATATTATAGTAACTTGATAATTCTTCTTCACCATTGCTCATAATAATAATTCATGCAATTAAAGCATCACCTAATTTGATCATAACACAGGCCTGTCCTACAAGAAAGAACAGTGTATGTTTAATCTATCTGTTGGTCATACTAACAAATCATACACTGATTTATTGCTTGTCTGTTTTGAATAATACAGAAGGTAAAGAGCTTAAAAATTTATTTTTATTAAATCGCAATGTTGGTTAAAAAAAATATTATAAGATTATTTTCCCAAATCGTTCAGCCCTAAACTAAACATTATATTTGCAGACAATGTCACCAAGAGAGGGATGGAGAATGAAATGGGACCCAGAGATGAACCCTGGGGAACACCATAGAGTGTGTTCATGGGGGATGAAACTGAGCTGGCCCTGGTCACAGAGAAATATCTCTAAACAGGATGTAATTGTGCTTAGCATTGTTGCAAATGTGCCTTGTTTTTACATTAATAGAATCATATGAAATAATCCAGTTGCCCATTGTCCTGCGCCTCTACAAAACCCGATCGCAGGTGTATTAACACTGGAAGAAAGAGGGCATATTAACCAGGCAACAACCAAGATTTCTTTCCTTTATTTGCCAACGCACAGAATTAATGTAAATGAACTACTGCTGATTACATTTATCAGCGACAGCTGTCATATAAAGCCAGTAAGCTTGTTAAGACACAGGTTATTATTTAATTAAAATAACTGCGCTTACAATTTGGAAATTGCACTCTTTATAATTGCAATTTCAATATAAAAACATCGTCATTCAGGCGTAGGTCTGTTTGTGTGTGGGTGTGTGTGAGAGACAGCATCAAAATCATTATCACGTAACCTCACTCTCGTCTTTCTCCTCTCTTGGCAGGGTTTCTGTGTTGACTTGAGCCGTACCTATATGGCGTGTGTGAGCGGAGAATTTTGCCAGGCACAGCACCTCACCTCTGTGGAGAAGTGAATCGGCCGCCCCCCGAGGGACTACGCTACCCAGAAACCCCCCTGACTGCCAGCACAGTAGGAACTGCTGACTCTTCCAAAGGCCCTCTGGGATATTGCGTAGTCCTTGGCCCGACTGCCCTGCCCTGTCCCAACCAATACGAAAACCTTTGCTTTCCACTTTCTCCTTGAACAGCCATTCACAAACAGCTCTCCTGAATGGGGTAAACTGATTGGATGACTCCTGGATAGTCTCTCCATCTTTTCTTTTTCTTTTTATTCTTCTACATTTTTTAATTTTTTTTGGTTTTGTATTAATTCATTTTTTTACATCCCGGAGTACTGTGGACTAGTTTATCCTTTTTGTTACCCTTCTCTGTGTACATCATCCCATAGTTGCACACCTGTTGTCCTCCTGACCCATCCTTCTCCACGTGTTGTCATTTTTATTTATTCTACCCTTTCCTGAACACATAAATCTCCTAGCAGTCTTTTGCTGACTTCTGAGCCAAAAGTCGCTTTTGTTTTGTAAGAGTATTGTATTGTAATTGTTTTTTAAGCCGTCTCGCCAACATGAACCGCCCCGCTGCAGTCGAGATTGCCTACGAGTGCATGAGGTTCCTCATCACCCACAACCCCACCAATGCCACGCTCAACAAGTTCACAGAGGTATGCCTGAATGGGTCAGTGTTGATCTCTGTTTGCGACTGCTTGCAAGTCTTGTGTCTAAAATCGTCTCTTTTGATGTCTGCCAGGAGCTGAAAAAGTTTGATGTGAACACACTGGTGAGAGTTTGTGATGCCACCTATGATAAGGCTCCCGTAGAGAAGGAGGGAATACAGGTCTTGGTAAGAGTTGACACACACAGCCTTTCTTATTGTATGTTTATCCTTTCCAACTCCCACACATACTCTGTTATTCTTTTGTCTCCTCTAGGACTGGCCCTTCGATGATGGCGCCCCGCCTCCCACCCAGATTGTGGACGACTGGCTCAAGCTGCTCAACAACAAGTTTCGAGAGGAGCCTGGCTGCTGCGTCGCTGTGCACTGTGTTGCAGGGCTTGGTCGGTGAGTGGCTAGCTGGATTGCTTTTGTCTAAAGATGTGCCAAAAACTCAAGAGGCAGCTCTGGATTGTTCTGTGGTGAACTTTTTGAACGGCCTCTGGTCTAAAACCCTCACTGCTACGTGTTAAGTTGATTTCTTTTTTTTTCTCTTTTTTTTTCTTTTTTTTTTTTTTTTAAATCAGACTAATTAAATATGCTATGTACAATGTAGCCATATTTCATTTATGTTATACTTTGAGTTTAGAAACACCCATTTGAATGCAGCAACATAAATTATCAGCTTCTTAGCATTAGCCAGTCGCCAGTGTTTCCTGGTGTAATACCCTCTTTTGACTTAATCTCCATTTTCTGTTTCCCCTTCCTGTTTGTATTATCTGTTTAGTGTGATGTTGCTGCCTGTGTGCTTAGACCAGGGTCCATTTAATCTCCCCTGCATCAAAGTGACTCCATAGAGATGAAGCATTGGTTAATTAAATGTTGCAAGTGTCTAAATAAGTTTTGTTTTTCTAGCCTTCCTCTCAAACACCCCCCACCTCATCCCCACAGCCTAGCTTGTCTGGGTGTGAAACTGAATGTGGTGCTCTGTCCCTGTTCTTCTATGTCGCCTTAATCTGGCGATTAATTCAGCACCTTAAATGGCTGTCCACCTGTCATTAGTGACAGCAGTCTGTTGCTGTAGCCTCCGCAGAGTTGAACAGGAAAGGCAATTAAATTTGCATGTGAAATGTGTTGGTCATGAGGCTGCACAGGCGATGCGCAGATATGCACGGTCATATTTCACAGACCAATGTGACAGTAAATTACAGACAAGTTCAGCTGAATAACAACACGAGTGTGAAAACAAAGAAGCAGAAGCACATGACGTGGGCGAGCTAGTGTGAAAATGTCTTTCCTGACCACAAACGCACAATAAGCCAATTGGTTCTCAATGGCTTCAAGCATTCTGCATTGCTGTGGCATTCCAGAGGTTGTACTGGCTTGACTGTACTTGATTGGCATTTTCTGAATCTCTTCATCTTCCCTTTGCTGTGTTTACTGCAGTCATCTGGATTTTCCGTAGCTTTACGGTCTGATCTGCTTTTTGCCAGCTAACATTCAACACAAGGTCCCATATTATGCTCATTTTCAGATTCATGGTTTAGTTTTGGGTGTCTTTATAACACATTCTTTTTCTCATATTGCTGCAGCTCCTCTATTGACTCTCTGTCTGAACACAGGGTTTCCGTCGGGTCTTTAAAAGTCTAAAATTTCAAAATCAAAATTTAGTTTTTTTCCTCCCGTGGTGTTGTAGTGGTCTTTCGCTTGTCCAAATCTATCCAAATATAATTCGCTGTATTATGACTACAAAGATCAACATGCAGCTTTCGTGTTATTGCTGCGAATCTCTTTTGGATTGTACCACAGATATAAAACCGAAAAAAAAAAAAAAGTGCAACCTTACCAACTCTTGCCTGAAAGAAACAGAATGTAGGGCTTGGTTAAGAGCAGTTTCTAGCAATGTACAGTGAGGAAAATAAGTATTTGAACACCCTGCTATTTTGCAAGTTCTCCCACTTAGAAATCATGGAGGGGTCTGAAATTGTCATCGTAGGTGCATGTCCACTGTGAGAGACATAATCTAAAAAACAAAATCCAGAAATCACAATGTATGATTTTTTTTAACTATTTATTTGTATGATACAGCTGCAAATAAGTATTTGAACACCTGTCTATCAGCTAGTATTCTGACTCTCAAAGACCTGTTAGTCTGCCTTCAAAATGTCCACCTCCACTCCATTTATTATCCTGAATTAGATGCACCTGTTTGAGGTCGTTAGCTGCATAAAGACACCTGTCCACCCCATACAATCAGTAAGAATCCAACTACTAACATGGCCAAGACCAAAGAGCTGTCCAAAGACACTAGAGACAAAATTGTACACCTCCACAAGGCTAGAAAGGTGGAAAGGCCAGAAAGTGATGGTGAGAGTTAGCTGAGGATAAGATCAGCATTAAGTTGTCAGGTTACAGTATACATACTGTACATCTTGATAGTAAAATTACATTAAAAAAGAACGGTGGTGACTAAAGCAAATTAGAGATGCAAACTAACGTTAGTCATTTTTAAGTTAATGAGGAGAGGATTCTTTTGGATTTTAATGTACAAATGAAATGCTTGTAATTATACAGAAGAGAGGAGGTTCTCATGTTGCCCAGTATTTAGCCTATGTTAATTTCTACAAATGTATAAAGCAGGAATTATGACACAAAAGGCAAACATGAACAGTCATATCTGTAATATTTCTGAGGTCATATTAACAGTGTTTTCCTGCCATTATAAGGTGGTGAGGCTCAAAACGGCTTGGTGCTGCGCCATGAATGTGAAAATCATTGTGGAGAGCATCAAAATTAACCAAATGACTTTTCCCCGATCTAATAATTATACTTCAAACCCAGTAGACTTCTTTAGCAAGTTTAGCTTTTGGGGTGGAGTTTATTCAAAGTCTGCTCTAGATTTTCCAACAAAATTCTGTGGAATTGCATATTTCTTTATTGAAAAACATAAACATTTTATTGGGAGATGACCACCAGACCCCCAACACAAAAATACCATCTTAATTTTTTACATTATACTTCCCTGTGAAAGCGTATTTTAATCCCCAGAACATTATTTTTATTATCTGTAAATGTACCTGCTTTGCACCTGCCTCGACTTCTCTTCTCCCTGCCCTCACACACACACCTTTACCTCTGGTCCCTCACTGCAAACACACCGGCTTTCCCTGTCTCTCTCTCCTGCCTGCTCTCCTGAGTTTCTCCATCAGCAGTAGGTTATGTTTCATAAAATCGCTGAAAAGACACATAACTTCTTCTTTTTTTCTCTTCTGGATTTTTCCACCGGTGATCCATTTTCCCCTCAGCAGGTGCACCACATGCCAGCTTGTTAGTTACATAGCCTATCAATGTCATCGTCCATCCCAGTGTTTCATTCAAGACATAATGTTATGATTTTGTAGACATCCCCCAACCCTAATTTGAATTCTCTGCAAATAATTTTGTGACAGCATTTCCTCTGTTTCTTTTTTTTTTTTTAAGTGATATATGTCTTTAATTTCATTCATAATGGTCTTTAAAAGGTCTTAGTCTTAAATTTGACTAGATGGAACCTGCAGAAACCCTGGAACACTCGTTTTAGCTCAAATCTCTTTCAGCTGATTTTGGTAAAACTGGAAAATATTTTCTGGTTATTTTAGATGCAAACTGTTGCTAACTGTAGCTGCCATTAGCTATTTAGCTCAGTTAACTGTGCAGCTTGCTGTCCTATTAGCTGACTCCCTCCGGATTGGGAGCTCGGAGCGGTCTCGGGAGAGCCAGTCTGAGCTCCCAGTCCAGGCAGAGACGGCTAATAATGGTAGCTGCAATTAGCAGTAGTTGGCTTTACTTGTTGCTAAAGTAACCCATATCTGTCTATTTGGAAACTCCATAAATCACAGAGTTGAGGCAAACCAGACAGAGGACATTGTTTAAAGGCACAGTTATCCAGGCTGTGTGCATTTCTGAGTGGATTAAGCATTTTGATTCTCTCATAGTATTTCTATAGCACCTAGACATACTTTGTAATCCACAAAGACATTTAAATCTCTTTCTACAATATAGGACCATAATACGCCTTATTGTTGTTTGTGCTTTCTTTAACAATATTCTCAGCCCTCCTTCCACACTATCACACTGTTTTTCTTCTTCTCATTTTCTCCTTTCTTTCTCACATACTATCCCTTGTGAATTTTGTGTGAGTGAGAAGCCACTCAAGGAAATGCTCTGTCAGCACTGGGATTTTGACCCGTCAAGTGGTCTAGAAAGTTTTTATATTTATTTATTTTTCTCATCTGGTGAGAAAGGAGATGGTTGTCTTTCTGTAACTTATCACAGTCTTGTGTGTGTATTTGAGGTTCAGGGTGTGAGCACAGTGCCCCAGCAGGGCAACAGTGAACTTGTGCCCCCCTGTCGATTTCCCAGGCCTGTTTCCCAGGTTTAAATCCCCTCCCTTACACTCCACCATATTACTATGGAACCATGTGAACCATGGCATTTAATCTTCTGTTCTCCTTCTCTCCTTCTTTTATTCTCTCACTCTCTCCTCGACCTGGTCCACTGGATTTCTTTACCTCACAGAGCTCCAGTCTTGGTGGCCTTAGCCCTCATTGAGAGTGGAATGAAGTATGAGGATGCTGTGCAGTTCATAAGGCAGTAAGTACCCTCCCTAATTTTGTGCTTTACTGTTTTCTTACAGATTGAGTCTTCATCACTGAATGGTGTTTTTTATTTAAACAGAAACAGATGGTAAATTAGTCATGCCTTCTTGTTTCTTTGGTTTGTTGATGATAACTTGTGAATTTTGACATATGTCTTGTCTATAATCTTCGAAACATTGGGAATTGGTCTTAATCTGGTACTGCCACTAGAAACAAAGCTGTACCCTGCAAGATGTCCAGTGTTTAGGAATAGTTCAACATTTTGGAAAATACATACTTATTTGCCTCCTGGCTGGCTGAGAGACAGGGAAGTTACTGCTCCCCATGCTTTTTGTACAGATTAATCAAACAATATATAACATGTTAACTGTTGCACTTCAGAGGTGCTGGCAGGTGTATTGTGTTGCCTTTGGACAGAGCCAGGCTAGCTATTTCCCTCTGTTGCCAGTTTTTGTTTTAAGCTAAGCTAACCGACTGATAACTGTTGCCCCATATTTAAAAGACTGATTCAAGGGTGGTATTGGTCTTCTCACCTAACTGCCAGAAAGCAAATGAGTGTATTTCCTAAAATGTTGAACTTTTAGTTTGATCATTACTTTGATGACCATAGTGTTCACTATAGTGTGCTCTTTGCTCTCCTTCATGAATATAATTTTCTTCTTCCCTGTTTTTCCCACTCTGCTTTTCGTAGGAAGAGACGTGGAGCCTTCAACTCCAAACAGCTTCTTTACCTCGAGAAATACAGACCCAAAATGCGTCTGCGGTTCAAGGATACCAACGGCCACAACTGCTGTGTGCAGTAGGCTGCCTGTTAGTGCATCTTTCTTATGCGCATCTTGTGGGGAATCTTCCAACGGGAGATATAAAAAAACAACAAAAAAAGAGTGCTATCAGTAATTATTGTGATGATTTGTTAACACTGAGTCATGGTTAATTGATCAGCAAGCAAGCGAGTGATCGAATGAATGAATGAATGAATGAATCCAGATCTGGGATCCACCAGCCGAACCAATGAATGGAAGGTCAAAGCACACAGATAGGCCCGCCTCCCGGTTATACTGTTCAGCCACGGGCCAGAATTCTTTCAACTTGAGTCCATCCTGTTTCCTTTCTTTTTTCTTTTTTTTTTTTTCTTTTCAGTTGTAATCATGGGATAGCATTTTTCATTTTGTGAATTTTTTATTTTTACACAAACAATGGTGATGAGAAGATGTAATGTTAAATGATATTCAGATTTTTATTTCCACTAATTGTTGATATTATGATTAGGCCAGAATAATGTACCTTTTTAAAAAAAAAAAAAAACTTTTTAAACTATGAACACACATTGTGACTGTCCATTTCGGTATTGGGGTGTTTTTATTTAATTTTTTTTTTCTTTTTTGCACAAAAGAACTCAAACTCACCTGAAAATGCAGTAATGTTTTACCCTTCACTTGCTTAAAGTTACTTTCAGTTTAGGGGTTCACTGAGTTTGAATATGTCTGCAATATTTATTCACAAGTTATGATATGTGTGGCAGTTATGAGTTTGGCAGGGTCAAGGACACTTTGTTATCCAATAGTTTGTTGTTTTTTTTTTTTTTTTTATCCTTTGAGAGCCATGTCTTTTTTTTTTTTTTTTTTTTTATCATGTTGGAGTGCAATATCAGTCCACCTCAGATAAGCCCACCAAACCCTGCTGAGCATCCTACACACACACACACACACACACACGCACACATGCATTTCAGACACTCAGATAAACAGGAAAAAAAAACGTAACTCCTAAAACAGGTACTTCTCCTGCTTTGATTCATTCTCCTAAATGGGGCTACTATAGGACTTCCCCAAATATGCATATTTAAACTTGTATACACAGAGCCTAAGATCGATTCTGAAAGACAATGTGGAGAAGAATGAAAATGGTCAGTTTTTTATCATTGTACCCATTTTGAAAACATCCCCAATTCGTATTGGTTCTTTAAAGATAAATAAATTGAAATAAAAATAATGCATGTCTCTTTATTGCCTCCTCACTTGCTTTGAAAGTTTGTATCTTGGATAAGTTAGTTTTATGGATTGCATTTCTAAAGTGGCTGGTGGAATTGGCGTTGACACTTAAGGCAAAAACATCGCTGGTTATATATTCCTGGATATAAAGGTTGTTATAAATGTTTTTGTTGGGTCATCCTGTTTTTTAAATCAAGATTCCTAATTCAGTAAAGTCAGTTAAGAGCAGAAGTTTGTATTACCAGACTTTACAACAAAATGCCATCAGACAGTGTGTGTGCTCATTAGGCATGTCAGTCAAAGACTGTCCTACACCTCCTTTCCCCAGTAGGGAGTGACTCAGCACCACGTGGAAGGCACAGGACACCCTGGTACTGAGAAATGACTCACAACCAGAACTGGTAATCACGACTCCAGCCAATACCTGAAATAAATTGAAAGTGCCCCCTCTGCTGGCCAAATCCTGTCATGGCTGATGTATTGAAGAAAGTCAGGAAATGTTGACAGTGCATACTGAAATGTGTCAATAAGGTACCATAAGCAGCATAAAGTAGAAACTAATATCAAGGACATTGGAGATTCAGTTCATTTATTAAGTCACTAATCCACCCATTTAGAGTAAAACAGCATTGGGATTGTTATATTAGTTATTGTCAGTGCCTACAACAATACAGCGGGACCACAAACAAATAAGCTTGTGTTTCCAATTCATGGCCTGCTTTGAATAATATGAATTTAATCCACACTGATTTAAATCTAACTCCATTGTTCCAGTTGGGAAGCTGTATTCATTGTCGTGCGATAGACTGAATAATAACATAAGGTGGTGCCTGTGCAAGAAACAGACTGGTTAATTGCAAATATCCTTAAATTTGCCATCTTACAGACAATAAATGCAGTTCATAGTAGGCCTATACTGCAGACTGTCACTGTGTGCCGTGCTCCCCACCAATAGATGTTTCTAAGAGCTAACAGGATCTTAGTGGTGGTGTAATTGATGTAGCCCAGTGGATAAATGACTCAGTATGTTGTCATTGCTGGGTAAGGAAATGATCAAAGCCACAAACCTGTGCAACGTTCTGAAAGCACAAGACAAGACAGTTGCCTGCTCTACCTCATACTGGTTAAGAAGCCTTGTATTTTCACCTCAGAATATCAAAAGTTAAACTACTGGGCTGGGAATAACCTTGTCCTGGCTTAGAATCATCCCTATCTCAGTTATTGGAGAAAATACTTGCAGTTTGGTTCATTTCATACATAAGTATCCAGATGGGCCACATGCACCACACTCACATTCATTGACACATTATGGATACCATTGAGCACCATAACCAACAAATCTTAACTGTGTAAAATAATATTCAAATTACTTTGATTTTAAAGGTTATTTCATGTCACTGGTGGTCGGGACAATAAAAATATCTCCTAGTGAGAGATTTTTTAGAATTAAAGAGGTCATATTATGCTCATTTTCAGGTTCAGAATCTTATTTAGGGGTTGTACCAGAACAGGTTTACATGGTTTCATTTTCAAAAAACACCAGATTTTTGTCATACTACACATGTCATACAGCTTCTCTTTTTGCCCTTTGTGTTGAAAGCTTTGTTTTAGCTATGGAGTGATACATCTTGCCTCTACATGATTTTTGTTGGGAGTTGCACATGCATAGTTCCTGGTTAAGGACTACTAGCCAATCAGAAGCAGAGAAGGGCAGGTCACTGAGAAGCCGGCAAACACAGCTTCGGTTTAGCTGTACATGTTCACCTTACCAGCTTAGCAACATGGACTGGAGCAAGTAGGGTTTCCACCCGTCCCTTAAAATATGGTATCGTCCCGCATCGATTCAAAATGGGATGTGATTTGTACCGTATTTTCGAGTTGTCTTTAATGCAGCATCCCATGCAAATCATCCCACCCGCATTCTGTAAATACTTCTCCTTTTATACCTGAAATTGGGCAATATTCGCTGCCATTGTTGCTTTCATTAATACAGTCAGGTTCAGAGCAAATAGGAGTCAGATAAGGGCGGGTCTCTTAGCAGGGAGTCTAGTTGAAAAAACAACAGGGGCAGCTTGAGAAACCCCCCGCTTCCCCTCTGAAACGAAAGCGGATGCAAAAAGTACCGACGATGACAAAAGTGGGAGAAATCAAATAGCCTACTTGATGAGTAGATTATCAAACCAAACTGCACAATTTTTCTGCCAGTGTTCTGTGTGGTGCACAGGTGGCCTGTCAGATGTGTGACAACCTGCCGAGGCAGTGTAATGACTTAATAAAACGTAGGCTACGAATTCTTTGATTGATCACGCTGGATTTCATATGCTGCATATTTGTTAAGAAATATTGTTACAAAGGCCCAAATGAAGCACATATGGTTTGATTTGTTTTTTAAGGTTGAGATATACAGTCAGACACATAAGCATTAATTTTAATAAGATCATTTAATAAGAGATAAGAGAGAGATATAGGCTATTTAATGCACATTTAATTATCAAAATATAGTGCCTATGAAGAATGTGACTATGTGTTATGATTAACCAAACTATAAAATTGCATGATTCAATACTATAGAATTAACAATAGGCTGAATAAAAAATAAATACATAAATATATTTACCAATCATAAAAATGGTGTTGAAATAAATTGAGAAATGTTTCATTGTTTGGATAGTATTAATATCCAATAATAATGACAAATATTTTAGCCAAAATCTGTATTCACACCACCCTTTACAAGTACTCAAGTTCATTAGCAATTTCTTAGCTCTATGGAACTCATTAGGAGTGAGCTTTTTCTGTTTATAGTTTTACTGTAACAATGTGAAAGACAAACAGCTACTCAGTGCTGCACGAGTAGTGTACTTCTGACAAGAAAACATTTATAAAAGGAAGTAGGCCTGACATGCTCCAATACTGCACACAAGGCCTACTACTTCTATGTTCATGATGTTCATGGAAAATCCTTTGCAAAAGTCTTTTCAATCAAATCAAAGCATATGTTTTAGCCTATTAGTTAATAAGTTATGGACATGTTAAGTTAAGAAAGTTCACAGTTCACATCCAATTTTCTTGTGGTCTCACTGTCACACATTGTTGGCCTATGTTTATTATTGTCATAGCTCTGTATTCAGTTTTGACAATAAGACCACTAGTCGGTTGTGTTGTGATAGACTGAGTGCATCTGTACACTGATTTCAATAGGAGATAGCTTATTATAATGTCCATTGGTATCGATCTTAATACTTTCCTGAAAACATGTTTTAAGTTATGATATACCACCACTGGCACACCTTTGGGCCTGTCGTTGCCGGGCCCCAGAGGGGTGTGGCCCCCGCTCTGGCAGGTGTCCCTTATTTTTCTGTATTGAAGGTGGCAACCCTAGGAGTTTCAGAGTTGTGAGTTATTAATTTGTGTAGCAAGACAAGGGTGTGATTCTGTATTTAAATAAGTTGCCAACAACGCCACCTGGGGAATTTCAACCCAGGAAATAATATTAAGAGATAGATCACACAGGTTCACCTGAAATAAGGTAAGTAAGTTTAACTGAATAAGCAAATACTAACTAAGTATACCAATTAAAAAGGCATTCCTTTACTGAATAAAATAGAAGTATGGGTCTAGTAATTTAAAATACGATATACTATTTAAAATACACAGTGGCAAAAAGGATAAATCAAAACACACTAAAAATGAATCAAAACATGCAAATCAAATAATTCAAACCAACCAAAATGAAAACAGAAGATTGAAAATTACACACACACACAAAACAAAATGCCAACCGTATAAACTACATATACACTATAACTAGACCCAAACAAGAAGGAAGTATTTAAACCGGCATGCCCGCTTTAAGCCAAGACAGAGCCGGAACTGGGCCGACCAGGCAGAGGGCAATCCCACGGGGGGACCCAAAGCCGAGACATGAGGCAGACGGACCAATATTTCGAACCATTAATATTTCGCATGGTAAATAATCAATTAAATGGGCTACAGTATGAGAGACATGCATACATACCCCCACGGTTCCACAGCGCACACACATAATTAGTCCACATGCAAGAACAAAACAGCCAGCAAGCAAAACGGTTCGCTCTAAAACAATCAAGGGAGCAGTGTGTTTAACTGCGATGCACTAAGCGTTACCACCAGCTAAACTGTTCAGCTACAGGCCATGACAGCCGTAACAGCGCTCGCAAACAGAACACCACAACGCCGGACCACCATCGCCAACAGTCGAGACGCCCAACCCAGGTGAGAGAGAGACCGACACATCTCAGTAACAACGTTATGTCCATTGACCGCCTGGAGGGTAGCTAGTGTTTAGAAGGGAGAGGAGGTGTGTGCAGCAGCTCAGTATTTTTTCCACTGGTATTTTTGATGGCGTATCGGACTAGCTGCTTGGCAAGCGTTATATATATATATATTTGTATATATGTAAGATTTAGTGGCATCTAGTGGTGAGGGTTGTGAATTGCCACCATCTGTCCAGTCTACCACTGCCCCCTAACCTTTCAAAGAGCGTAGGACAGCTACGGTGGCTGAAACAGCACAAAAGGTGTCTCTTCTGAGACTGCAGAGAGTAGCCAGTCAAGAAATGAAGTTTCTTTAGGCAGATATATTCAGAAATTATATTTACTTAATTATTCAGTAAAACCATGTCTTATTGCGACTTGGCCACTGACAGATAACATGGAAAAAGTAAGCCAAGAGTGTGAAACACTGTCACTGTTTCTGCACCACAGTCCATTAAAAAACCACACGTTAGATAAAGTTTATACAAACAATGACAAGAGAAACACACTCATTCTCTCTGTGATTATGGACCACCGCCAAAACTGCCTGCCAACAATAATATCTGGCCCACAGCCAGATTAAGGTGCTTTGATAGTGCCAAAAAAATAAATAAAAAATTTAATCGCCAGATTAAGTTGCATTAAGCTGTAGATATTTATATCATCCCTGCTAAATTATATGCCCTTGAATTTGACAACCACCATT